ACCCTCCCTCAGGAGCAGGAGGGTCCCCCCCACCCCACCCCGCGCCGTGTTTGTGCGTTAAGAGATCCCGGCGCCCCCCGGGGTCCTCCCCCGGGCCGGGGGGGGGCAGGTGGGGACCCCGGGGGGGCCGCAGCCAGCGCGGGGGGGGCCGGGGGTGTAATGCCCACTCGCTGCTTCGCTCTCCGAGGCCGCCCCTGCCTGGCAGGAGGTTCCAGACCGACCCCCCCCCCATACACACACACACACTCCTCGGAGATTGGGTTTAAAAAAAACCCCCCCCTTTGCCCCTGCACCCCAAATCTCAGCCCAGCAGAGCACAAAGAGCCCCCCCCCCCCTCTAGTATATACAATATAAGGTATAAATAGATAAATAACCTTCCACCCCTGTGCCGTCGGTGCCCACGTGCAGCCCCGGCCGTGGGGGGGCTATGGGTGAGCAGGGGGGGCCCCCACCTTGCCCCCTCCAGCCCCCCCAGCCATGGAGGCCACGTGCGAGAAGGGGGGGCGCTCACCCAGCCCCTCAGCCCCCCCCCAGAGCTGGGGGAGCGGGTCTGGCCCCCCCGCCCATCCCCACCTCACACCTTGGCACCTCCTGGGGAAGAGGGGAGGCAACGAGGAGGGGGTGTCCCCGTGTCCCCCCCTCCAAGGGGTCCTGCCGAGGGGCCTCCTGCAGCCACATCCCAGGAGGAGGATGGGGGGAGCCCGAGGGAGAGAGGGAAAGACCCCCCCCCATGGGGCAGGGGGGAGCCAGGCTGGGGTGGTGGTGGTGGGAAGCGGAGGGGGGGGAAAAGGAGGGGAGGGGGGGCTCACATTTAAAAACAACAACAAATAAAAGAAACAAATCTAACACTTAAAATGAGGTAGGTTTGGGTGCAGAAGCTCCTTGTGTCTGTCGGGGTCTTGGCCTCATCCCGCCGCCGCTCCGGGGTCTCGTCCACACGCACAAACAAAAAGAGATCAAAAGGAACCGAGCGAGCTCTGACCGCCCTGGCAGGGGCGGGGCAGAGCCCGGATTGTCGAGCTCAAGGAGTCTGTGTTACCTTGGTAATTAGCGAGCAAATATTATTAGTTTCTAAAAAAAAACAAAACAAAACAAAACAAAAAAACCCCCAAAAAAACAAAACAAAACAAAAAAAAACAACCAACAAAAAACCCAAAAGAACCGAAAACAAAATAAAATAAAATAAAATAGAATAAAATAATCGTTATATCCGGGCCGGCTCCGCGCGCTGGGCCCGGCGCTGCTCCCCCGTGGCTCCCCCACGAGGGAGGCTGCCGGGGGGGGTGGGTGCTGAAGGGGGGGCTTCCGAGCCCCCCACTCCGTTTGTTTGTTTGTTTTTTTCCTCGCAGGACGAAGCAAAGAAAACCCTGAGTTGCCAGTTCGTCCGTCTGTCCGTCCCGCCCGGGCAGGGCCGGCGGCGCCGCGGCCGCTCCTCCCTCCGTGCCCGGCTGCCCCTGGCACCTCCCGCGGCCCCGGGGAGGGGCTCGGCGAGGTCTCCCAGGCGGGGGTGGCGGCCCCCAGCCCCGTTTTTCCCAGCTAGTTCATCCACTTCCTGCAATTCCAGGCTCCACAGTGGCAGGGGATCTTGTGCTGATCGTCCTCGAAGTCGAACTGGTAGTCGTAGGTGAGCTGAGGGGAGGAGTGGGGAGTCACCTACGGCGCAGAGCTCAGTCCTGCCACTTCCAGCCCAACCCTCCCAGCCCCCTCTGCCCCCCCCCAAACCCCCCTGAGCCCCCCACTGACCTCCTCCCCCTTGGGGATGCGCCGGCTGGAGATGATGATGATCTTGTCCTCCTTGTCGAAGGTCACGACTTCGGCCACACAGTTCGGGGCACACGAGTGGTTGATGTACCTGGAGGAGGTGGAAGGTTAGAACTGACCCAGGGGCAGGACAGATGGACACCACGGCTCCCTCCAGGGGGAATCCCACCATCCCAAAGCCCCCCCGTGCTCACCTGGCCGGGCCCCCCGTCAGTGTGGCGTCAATGACGTGCTCGTTGTTGATGCGGAACATGTAGATGCCACGGTTCTGCCACGGGGGACAAGGGGGTGTCAGGGGGTGCACCGAGGTCCCCACATCCCACCTGAGACCCTCATATCCCACCAGAGCCCTCAATATCCCATCTGAGACCACGTCCCACCCGAGCCCCCAACATCCCATCTGAGCCCCTCCACGTCCCAGCAGAGTTCCCCCTCATCCCACCAGCGCTTCCAACGTCCCACCAAAGCCCCTCCACACCCCAACTGAGTCACTCCACATCCCACCAGAGCCCCCAACATCCCACCCAGGTCCCCCTACCTCCTGCCAGAGCCTTCAGCGTGCCCCCCAAGTGCCCCCCACAAATCCCACCAGAGCCCCACCTGCTCCTCGTAGATCTTCTCCCGCCGGTTGGCCACCTCGTTGCGGATGATGGTGCCGATGTACTCGATGACCATCGTGTGCTTCTCGATGTCCTTGGCTGCGTAGAGCCCCAGCCCCTGGATGCGGGAGCGCGCCAGGTACACGTTGTTCTTCCACTCCGTCTTCAGGCGCCGGTACTGGGAGGACTTGGAGTGCACGAACTGTTTGCTGTAGGGCGTGTTGGTCTCGCCCGTGAACGTGCTCTGGTAGGCCTTGGACATGCTTGTGCTGTTCAGGGTGTGGGGCCTGCCAAGGGGGGGAGGATGAGAGGGGTCAGAGCCGAGGGATCCCCAGGGATCCTGGCTCTCCTGGCAGATCCCAGCTCTCCCGGGGGATCCCGGCTTTCCCAGTGGATCCCAGTTCTCCCAGCAGATCCCAGCTCTCCCGGGGGATCCCAGCCCTGTTTACCTCTTGTAATGGGTGAGGATCTTGGGCTCGGAGCGGGCGCAGCCGGTGGGGTTGATCATCAGTGGCAGCTCCATCAGGGGATGGC